AAATTATATTGAAACATGCCCAACAACACCTCGCGTTCACGTTCACGAACGAAGATTCAAAGACTGTTCATTTACTTCTATTGATCAAGGCAGGTTTAGTTTCGCTCACATACTATCTCTTTCATTCCAAATTTCAGGCCATTGCACTCTTCAATGCAAATCAACGAGTGGACGGAGTGCAGCGCTGTAGAGACTCACGCGTCTCAATGCCGAGTATCTGGCCTTTATCCATACATTCCTATATGATCCAGCTCTAATCCAAAGGACCAGTCTCGCGCACACTCGTGCGCGCCCTATTTACACTTGCGTGCACTTAAGCGCGCCTTACCTGCGCTCGCACATTCGTGCGCCTCCTCCTAGGTCTTCACGCTATTGTCCGTCCATTCGTCCCATGTCCTTACTGATTTGCTGGTGCGTTATTCCTATCTCCTTCATTGAACTAACAAATCTTCGGTCCAAAATCCGCTGTAGAAACAACAATACTGAGAGGAACAAAGAAATGCTCCTGACTGTATCTAAAAAGTTGTAGGTCGTGCGTTGCCTAGTCTGCTATACTTGAAAGGACAAGTGCGTTCGACCCTAAAGGGGAAGCAGGTGCAGCGGAGATCTAGAGGTACGCGCTTCAGCGAAGCGCGAGAAAGCGCAGGTGCGCGCAAGGTACGAAGGTGCGGGAACGCGCGAAGCGCGGGAAAGCGCGCGCGTGTAAGCGGAAATAAGAGAGACTAAACTTATGTGAAGATATAAGCAAGATAAAGGATGTGAGATGTGTTGTGCTAATGAATAGATTTCTACTGCGACTTTCTAAGTAGTAAGTACTAGGTAAAGTTGGGTGAAAGTAAGGTGTGAAAGGTAAGTAAGTAATAGTATGTACTGCTGGCGCTTATATAGCGCGCCTAAGCGCGGTCATGCGGAGCCGAAGCGCTACCGAGTAGGTATGTAAAGATATATATAAGTGAGAATTCATGATAAAAATAAAGGTGGAATGATATGCTAATAAAAGAAATGGAAATATACGCACTAGAGGGCTTGGTGGACAGTGGATGGATGCTTCTGGATGGCTGGTGCTATAGGGCGCGCAAGCGCGGGAACGCGCGTGCGCGTATACATCGCGAAGCGCAGGAATGGTGCGCGCATGGCGCGCATTGCGCGGGAAAGCTGCGCCTCATATAGGAATTGCTGTGGACAGTACACAGAGTGGTGCTGCGAGTTGGTGCTGTATACTCCCTTAGTGGAAACTGCCATATCACGCCATGAGAGGCATGAGTCTCTACACCGCGCTACATATAGAAAGTCTATTTAAACTTAGTTATAATTAGAGTTGATATGGTTACTTGGTTCGGGAGCGCGCTGCATAGTGTAATCTCCATTCTTAAATAGAGAAGGGAATCTTTGGGGTTCTGGTACTTACTTTCCCCTTATCTTTGTGTACTGGAAAGTGTATAGATCACCTCCTCACTTGATATCTGATCTGATTCTCCTGTCAACCATCCATCTGTGCATCCACTCTTCAAATAGGACCTTTCCCTTAACGTTCTAGGCGCACCTTCGCTTCGCGCGCGCGCATTCTCGAACCTCCCGCTCACATGCGCATCTCGCGCGCCTTCGCCTCGCATACGCGTGCCTTTGCGCTGTAGGGATTCATTTCTGGCTGGGCTTGTAGAGACTGTTTTTACCTTACCTTATGTTGGCACTTTTGTAGCTTACATAAGCAATCAATCTTTTCACCAGTTACCAGTATGAGTCTGAGTGCTCAGTAGTTTTCTATGATATTTCCTCTCCTCTGAGCCTTGAGCCTGGTCCAGAAACCCTTTAGGGTCGAATAGCAGCTAGGTTCTGCAGGACCCAACATTGTTCAGACTCACCATCTGAATTGTTGTACCTTCAGTGCGTGTTACCTTCTCGCGCTTGCTAGCGCCCGCCTAGCTCATACAGTCTCCCTCCATTTTATTTCGAGGAACTTCTCTCAGTGGTTGTCCTTTGGGTTGAGTTGTTGTCTCGTATTCTGGTCTTGCTGTAGAGCACCCATTTGTTTTAAGTGTTTTCACCTATAGTCAAGATTCCTCTTCTACAGCGCCTTCGGGAACTTGCCATCACTTGCCCTAACATCGATAACACTGCGTATGGCATTGTAGAAGTGAGCATCTTACATTCAACAAAATCCAGGTTCTTGCGTCGATTGACAGTATTTTTTCTTAATTCGTACTTTAGGCTTATCTTCTTGTCTGACTGGGTACCAATGCCTTGGATGGTGGGCATCACAACAAAGCTGCTGACCATTTCGCCGAAGCTGTTAATGCCATTGGCTTTTCGTCTGAATCAGCCATTCATTCTACATACGAGGACTTCGTTATGGTACGTTGATGTGATGCAACCGAATGTGCAGAAATGGTGTGAGGCACTTCTTTGCGCAGGTAGACTTATCGAAGCTGTTAGATCATTTCGATATATGATGGATGAGAGCGATGAAACTGCGAAGGCCGCTTGCCTTGATTGGTCCATTGGCAAGTTTTTTCAAAGGTGAGTTGATAGTCTCATTGTATTACATTCTCGCAACTGAACAGACTTGCAATGCCAGGCCAACAAATTTGCACTCCATGTATGTAACACCTTCATTCAAAGATCTTGTTGGGCTCAACATACATACACTAGGCTAATGCTACACAACCTCCGGTCCAACGACGTCCACCTGCTCGTCAGGTACCCCATGTTTGTTTTGGTTCAAACAGGTTTGAACCTGTTCAGAACCGGTTCTGCAATTCTGCAAGTCCCCGAACCATGGACCGGACCAACAGTTCGGTCCTCCCTATTTCCCGAACCTTGAACCGGACTTCGGTCAGGTTTGAAATGGTTCAGGTTCGAACCGCGGTTCAGAACCGGACCTGGCCATCACTAATCAATTAGCACAAACTTTTATATTGCCCGTATCTCAATCAAATATCAACCGATTAACACAACCAAACCACCCCTGAAATCGCACCGGCCGGTAGTATATTGGGGCATATTGACCGGCCCACTTGAACCGATCAATCCAACCTGATATCCCCCTGCCCGGTCAATTAGCACAGACTTGTGTATCAACTGTATCTTAATCAAACATGAACTGATTGACACAGGAAAACCACCCCTGAATTTGCACCGGCCAGTAGTATGTTAGGGCATATAGACCGGTCCACTTGAACCGGTCAATCCAACCTGATATCCACCTGCCCGGTCAATTAGCACCAAATTTTGTATTGACATTATCTCAATGAAATATCAACCGATTGACACAATCAAACCATCCCTGAAATTGCACCGGCCGGTAGTTTAATAGGGCATATAGACCGGTTCACCTGAGCCGGTCAATCCAACCTGATATCCACCTGCCTGGTCAATTAGCACAGACTTTTGTATTGCCCATATCTCACTCAAATATGAACTGATTGACACAACCAAACCACCCCTGAGATCGCACCGGCCGGTAGTATATTATATATACCTACCAGATCATATACCTACCTGATAATATACCTACCGGATGATCCATTCACCTGATGCTAGATGAACCAGACCCACTATACCCGGCCCATCTGTTTGCCTTGGGTACACACATTTGTCCGGCCCACCTGTCTCCATTGTGAACTGGATACCCCCGGCCCATCCATTTGCCTTGGGTACACACATTTGTCCGGCCCACCCGTCTCCATTGTAAACTTGATTCACCATTCATAATGTCCTATATACTAGTACATTTCTATATCACTGTCTATACTATATACCCTCGGCCCATCCCTTTGTCTCGGGTACACACATTCACTCGGCCCACTCGTCTACCATGGTACAATTATTGCCATGGGCCCACATGGGATGGCCCCTCTCTATAGGTACATTGTCACTCTGGGCTGTCCGTCTGAGATGGGTATATGTTACTGTATTATGTGCCCGGTCAAGAAACCTCTCGCACGGGTGCCCCCGTGTACTTGGAGGTCAATGAGCACGAAAGCTTCGCATACCGGGTAAGGAGAATGTAAGTCTGGCCACTCACTTTCGACCAGTCATGTTCCATCAAGTGCTTACAAGTTCCTGATGTACAATTTGTCGTAGAAGAATGTTGGTGCTATGCCCATCAGATGAGGTATTCTGGGTGGCCTGCAGCGACAGTGCACTTGTTCTGTGGTGGTGACTTGGATCGTTCAGATCAACACCGGCTGCTAAATGGACTCTTACAGCCCTACCTCCCAGAGCGCATGACATCAGTGCCTCCAACACTCCTTGCACATACATTTTGTATGTCAATCGATGCAAGTCTTAGTTGTTTGTCTGGTCTTGCCCTCAGGTTATCACGATATTTGACAGTCTCGCAAAAATTACATCTTTATGATCATTGCACTTCCAGACACCCATCCAGCTGATAGTTGCCCTTCCTTTAGACTTCTCCCAGCACGATTTCCTTCTTCAGACGACTGGAGGCCATGCGACTGGTGCTGGGATCCTACCAACCAGCTATATGCATAGGAAGCCCCTATTATACTGCCAACAAGCACTACTATCTTGGACTGCGGGTCGAGCACAGGGGCAAGTGCCCGGGCATCTTCAAGATAGAGGTGAACCACTTTTTCCTATGAATGAAACGAGCAACCAATAGAAGGATAAAAAAACTGACCAGGAGAAGAGACTAGTTTACCCATCGAGTCCAGCATGGCTCCCGCAGCTGCTTCCTCATTTGGCACGAGCACATTGCTACATACTCTGCGCACACAATCAGAGAACCACTTTCAATTACACATCATGTGCAGCGAGCTATAGGTGAATGTAGTAAAATGTCACACTGCAGTCATGTGATTGCAGGAGTTAGAACATTAATCCCATTGAGCTATGGTTATTATATTACAAGCCTAATTACTACAGGTCCAGTTGCATAAGTTATCATGAGTTTGTGCCGTTCTGCGGACATTTGACTTATCCTCACAGCGTCACATGTCTGTCACATCACGTGAGGTTGGTCGTTTTCCACCTTAACTTCTGACCATCACCCATGCTTTCAACACCCATACTATATCATGGTAAGTTTGGTCAAGTGATCCAAATACAGGTTAACACGGTTAGATTGCAGGAGCCCGTGTTGTACGAGTGTTCCAGTTGCCACGCCTGGACTCTCAGCCAGCATTTCAGGTTCCACAAGAGGTACAGACACCACCAGCCCCCGCAGCGGATCAAGGACCACCTGGATCAAACTTCTTGGCTGCTAGCTTTCTTAAGTTGATCCAGGAACATTCCCAGTGCCCGATGTGAGTGATATGCGTGATCCTACAGGGTTGCCCACTCCCGTGGGTCAGATGTTGGGACGTCCTGTCAGCACCATGATCCTGATATGATCATCACCCTAATCTAACCCAAGCTTAGTGTTGCACCAGTGACTTATTGCTCATCAGGACATGCGGCTTGTGTATATTGCACGCTCAGTTCAGCCATCAGCCTTGGGGTCACTAAATGTGTCCTGTGTCGGTCTCCAAATGTTGTTCCTGGAGGCTGTCCTTTCATTTATCTTCGGCAGACCCAGGACTTTGTTGTGTCCCTGATGGAAGGAATTGCCCAGGAGTTCCAAGACACTCCTCGCGAAAATCCAGAATTAAGGTCATATGCTTGTGGAGCTTTGCGAGATGACTGGAAACAAAGAAACAGGTGATTCCGTTTACAACCCATTGCAAAAGCAGGACTGTTCTCATTCAGGGTACAGGGTTGGTCGTCTACTCATACATGACATCCAGCAACTCCGGGGTCCACTGACCCCCACAGAGGCAAGCCGTATGGTCTTATTGGCCAGACTTTGTCTACAGGGGGAAGGTGTTGGTTCAGCCCAGCTCCCGATGTGAGCCTGTCTTGGTCAAAAAATTTGGTGTTGGACTCACCAGATTACACCATACAGCAAGATTGATTAGCTCTCCCCTTCCGATGACCTCGATTGGGAAGATGGGGAGTCTGAAGAGGACGAGGACGAGGTGATTTGATTCCGCGGTAAGTCGGTCCTTGATGGTAGATACTATGCTGAGAAAGGGGAGAAAGGTGACGGGTGTACTGGTACGCTGCTACAAAGGAATTCATGGATAACAACTTCATCTTAAATATTGTGGGTGGATTCAGAATGCGCTTATTAACTCTCTGCCTGATGTACTCACTAGTACGGAGCATCCACGTCCCTTTGTTTACAAAACGTCTCGTGCAAAATCTATATGATCTCCCTTTGTTCCCGAGGCCTGATTTCTGTGATAAGACGACTGCATAAATGAGTAGGTGTGGAAGATAATGATCATTTATACGAAATCAAGCTCGAGTGATTATCGACATGGGCAAGCGCGGGTATCGTCGGTTTTGAGTCGGCTGCAGCATTGTTATGAAGATTTTGACGACAGAAGCCCAGCTGAGCAGGTGACCACGTTCACGAAATGATACAGATGTAAATCGGCACTGAATCACTGGTCCCACGAAATGCGATACCTGAAACAGCTCCTGGGTATTGCATCATCTTCCAACGGGTGTTGTTGTCTACAGCCTCCGCAAGACGTTAGCCTCGGTTATATCAGGTATTTGGCGCCATGATGCTTTTTCAGGACAGACGTCATCGCCATTTGGACTATTTCTGAAAGGTCATTGCGACACATCGAATTAGCTGTGCCAGGATTCACAATTCGTGCTGCGACATCAGTGAATGGGGGATGTAGTGAGACGCGGTTGAAATAATATTGATCACGGAATGATATAAACAAACTATGTATGTAGAAGCGCTTCAGCTGCACAGCCTTAGACTACAAAGATAGCTCAACGGCCCGGGACCCGGGTAACCAGGTTTATAAGCCCGATTGATCCAGCCTTGGCGGATATGATGGCTCTCAGTACTACTTAGTACTAGTAGCAGGCTAGCGCTATGCTCATGTCTTCTCCCGGAACATTCACCGGCTTTGTGCGGCCACCTGTACTATTAAGTGATGCACAACCGTTCTTCTGAACTTTATTCGATTTACATCTCATCCTCCAAAGAAGAATCAGCAACTACATTCGCGCCATGAACATGAACCAGGTCGTGTTAACATACAGTTCCGCTATTAGGATTGTGGCTTCGGTGATGACTGGTTTTGGTATATCATCTATGTATGATTGTTATCGAGAGCCATACTGGCGGCAGTCATATACTAACGAAGATTTATAGAGTTTTCTTGATTTTGACTGCGCAAGTTTGGATTTATTTCCGGAGAGATACAATTCGATCTGTGGAGAACAGGCTGTCTAAAGCTCTCGTATGAATTTTCGTCGCATATCACAGACTCATCGCTGACAGTGCAGAACAGGTTGCCTTCATCTGGTAAATATCTTCAATTGCATGTCATACATGCAGTTAACGGAAAGACTGACGTTGCGTTACAGGTTAATCCAAGCTGTACAAATGTGAGTCTCTATGGAAATATTTATACAAGCCGCTGAAAGTCCTGCTAGGGCAGTTGCTACTTGGATATCGTTCGCTCATGCGTTCAAGTTCAATATGACACTCTGCCATATGTTGATGTTGGTGGCATTTAAAGTCATTCATCAAGGCACTTTCTGACAGAACGACAGAAACTTGGCGCTTTACAACGGAATATGTGCAAGTGGCGCCTTTCTTCCGCCAGTCTCGAACTAATTAAGCTCACTGTCGTCCCATAGTCTTTTATCACGTCTGTTGTGCATGGCGTTTTCATATCTAGAGTTTTCAGACGTGCGTGCTGCTGACGTACTACTATGACACTTCTTTCTGATGCGTGCGTGAAGTTGAGAAGAGTTTCTATGGTAAACGGAGAATGACATTCGTCCTGGTAGGCACTACGTTTGGCTGCCTCGGAAACAGCAACTGATTGCGCCAATCAGATTGCATTTTGTGTCATGGAGCAAGGTGCGATAGTTTATCCTGCAACGGATAATCGCTACTTAATCACGGAAAATAGTTTTTGGAGTTCTTAGTACAATCTACATGTAGGTCCAATTTTATCAATGTCGCCCTGTCAGGTGTTTCTCAAATAAGGGAAATAGCTCCCGAATAAGCCATTACAACTTGAATGTCGTGGTTAATGTAAGCTTGTTCTACCTTTGATCGGGAAGCAACTCACAAGGATAAAGTGGTCTACCTTGATCTCGCTTGGTTGTTCAGCAATCGATGATGTTCTTATCGCTGGAACTACGGCCTATATTCTCTACAACCACAGGACTGAATCGCCAAGGTGATTGATCAGTTCGAGTATGAAATTAACATGAACTGACAGTCTTGGTGTTCAGAACCAACCGAATGATCACGAAACTTATCATATTCTGCTCGCAAACGGGTTTGATTACAACGCAAGTTCCTTTGTATTGACAGTGGATATACTCACTACTTCCTGTGTAGTGTGGTGGCATCTATCACTATGGGAATTGTGAGTGCTTATCGCGCACAATAACCATGTCTCTGACCAAGACGCAGTGGGCAGCTTGCCGTTTCGATGTGTATCATCTACATATGTGTTTTCCTATTGGAGGCTGTGAGAGTCTTGTTGTCATCAACTCGAGTACACGAATGTTCTGACGTCCTGGCGTGACAGTATATGCTACATGTCTTCTCGCCAAGTGAGTTGTTCCTAACGGTGATAAAAGAGACTACTGATATCTTGCTCAGCTTAATCGCTCGGGATTCCTATCTGCAGCCACAGACAGCCCACGAAGCCGAAATTTCCGAAATCAGTTTTGCACGCTCCACACAGGCGATTCATGTGGGCTTGCCAGATAATAAATCCGGGCCGCAGGAAATATCGGTAATGCAAGAAGGAACAGATTCCTCAAAAGCGTCCTCCTGTTAAGTCGAGCCACTATAATCCTTTGGACGTAATGCCACCCGCCTCGGTGTCGTCGCAATTGCCTAGAGTTAAGTACTAAGTTGTTATCGTACTTGTGTGTCGAGAAGCTGTTACATCCACTATATTTACATTCACTGGCAGCCGTAGTCAGACCATCAGAAAGAATTCATATAATTTATTCTTCACAATGCCTCTGTCCTTCTAGATTCACTACTATGAGACATATTTTCGTTCGAATGTCGCCGTGCACCAATCCTGTGTTCCTCACTGAAGCATGAAGATCATCATCTGGTATAAGTATTGGTGTAAAGTTGTCCGTGATCACAATCTTCGTAACCATTATCATGTCACTACTCTCCTGTGACCGAGGCCAGTACGATCCTCTACCCTCTTTCCTGCCGGTCCGACGGTGCCGACCCGATTTTCAACGTGACGCTGAGTGCGGTGTTGGAAGCAGCCAATTGAAATGTATTCCATACCTTCTACATCACGGAACTTGAAAAGGCCATTGAGAAGGTGAGTTTACTCATCATTATCTCACCTGAACACCATATGTCGTTGTTGTTACTGTATGCTATCAATAATCACACGAAATAACATTCCCGAAAGCGGTTGTTTATTTTTGAAGCTTCTGCCAAACAACACCCTAGGCGAGTCATGTTCCCCGCGAAACCACAGCACGCGGTTAAACTGGTCAAGCGTTGACAAATCATGATGCATCAGATGCATCAGCGCTCATAGCTATTCTTGCTATCATTTGCGTGTGCTAGCGCGGACTCTCAAATTTCAATGTTGATTGTTTACTTTGCAGCGCCTGCTCACAAATCACGTCGCCCCCCAAGGTCAATTGTAACAGGATGAGTATCTTCGATGTCCAGGGTTCTGAGATGGAAACATCTCCCCTTCTGCACGAAACCACGCAAACAAAGCAAAAGACGCCCCTTCCAAAACTGCAGATCGGCATTTTGATGCTTGTCCAAATGGCAGAACCCATTGCTTGCATGTCAATATACCCGTACATCAATCAGGTATAATGTCAGAAGCTTCTTCAGGGAGTTAAATTTGAACGTTAATTGCAGCTGATTCGAGAACTAGATATCACTGGTGGTAACGATGCAGCAGTCGGTTATTACGCTGGAATTATAGTAGGTCATGTTATTTGAGCGAACACATGGAGTTATATGACTCTGGCGATACTAGGAATCACTTTTCTTCATCTCAGAATCACTGACGGTATTGAAGTGGAGCCGTCTTTCTGATCGCATTGGACGCAAACCTGTCCTTATGATCGGTTTATTTGGAGTGGGCCTCTCAATGCTTTGCTTCGGTCTCTCAACCTCCTTCTGGACTCTTGTCGTCAGGTCAGTCAATCTAAGTTGTGTAGATGGTTGAGTATTTCTATACAATGAGCCAAATAGCCGTTGTATCTGTGGAATGCTCAATGGCAATAGCGGAGTCATGAGAAGTATGATGGGCGAACTCACGGATTCGACAAACATGGCGCAAGGATTTGCTCTCATACCCATCACATGGTGCTTTGGGGGCTTCTTCGGGTTAGTCTTTCTCTGAATACAAACTCGTGCTGAGAGTGTTGCAGCTTCCTTATGGGGGGAACTCTAGCTCGTCCTCAAGACCATTGGCCAAATCTCTTTGCTGGACAATTCTGGGCAAAATATCCGTATTTCTTGCCCTGTGCTGTTGCTGCATCAATTGTTTCCGTGTCGTTCATGTTCGTATTTCTCCTGGAAGAGGCAAGTCAGACTCGAGACAGACATCCCGGTCACAAATATTAACCCTGTTTCTCTGACAGACACTAGCAACCAAGCGCAAGCGCAATAGCAATGCCACGGGCGAACAACTTTCGGAAGAATACAGGAGTAATGAATCACCCTCGGAGAATATGGCCAACGTCCCCGTCCCCCTACGTTCGCTGCTCATTCGTAGCATCATAATTCCCTTAGCGAATCAAACATTTCTTGCGTTTCTCGACATCTGTATCTTTGCTCTCATGCCCTTGTTTTATTCCACCCCTCACTACCTCGGCGGGCTAGGATTCGCACCCCAAACGATTGGGTTATGGATGGCGCTATTCGGCATCATCGACGGTTTATTCCAGGCGCTGTTCTTCGCCAAAATCGTTGACCGGCTAGGTCCCAAACGCACATTCTACACAGGTATATCGTGTTTTATACCAATCATGGTCATGTTTCCAGTCATGTCATGGCTCGTCTTCTCCGGAGGCGCTGACAACATGGTCTCGATCGCACTGCTGTTCCAGCTTCTTCTGATAGTAGCGTGGGACCTCTCTCTAGGTGAGCCTTCTGTCATCGCACGTGTCTCTATCGTAGGTCCCATGCTCACTTACAACCAGCGAGTATATTAATGTTCATTACCGCGTCCGCACCTACGAAAAATGTCCTGGGCGCGATCAATGGTATGGGTCAGATGACAGTCTCAATCGCACGCGCAGTTGGTCCCATGTTCACCGGGTCCATCTTCGCGTTCTCGAAGGATCACAATATTTTGGGTGGTCACGCGGTATTTGTTGTTCTGTGCATACCTGCGGTTGGGATGTTGTGGTTAGCGGCTTACCTACCTAAGGAATTGCAGAATAGGGACGAGGATGAGTGAAAATTTGCCGCCTTGCGAGTAATTCATACGGTAGAGGAATGAATAAACCAGTATGCTCTTAGTAAACCTCGCATGAAGTCATCCGCGAATGTACATAAATGATACAAGCCCTTGTCATTGATTACTTCTTCTTTCATCTCATTCTACACGAATCTTTTTCGAAAACATGATGTACGTGGTGGTAGCCTGGTAGAGGGATATGCAAGTTGCGCGTGAGTGAGGTGGACAGGAAGAGGGAAGGCTGGGCGCCCAAGGATGAGAAACAAGTCCCGAAAACACAAACAGGGTAATACGCAGTTGTACGTGGTATCTGATTCGTATCGTAAGCAAGATGGATAAAAACGAGCGCCCACAGTAATATGGTAGTGTAGTGTAAGAAAGAATAAGTCCGTGCGTAATACGGTGTCTCGGGCGCTTGTACACCGCTGACTTGCCCTCTCTTGCCGGAGAAATGTGGGTGGGGGTAGAAACGTATTATGCCGCGCTGTACAAGAATAGGTTGTTCGTTGCAGCGATCTAATTATAGAGTGTTAGTACACACGCTGGAGCAGATGTAAAGCAGGAAAGATCGGCAGCACAAAAAACTAACGGCGCAAAGCACGAACTATATGCAAAGCGTAACACTCACAGCAATCGTGTTCTCCCGTGGATGCCAGCTAGCATGCAAGATCTTCTTGTTAAAGTCAAGCGTATCCGTTTGCATTGCGTCCCGCAGTCCTCCGGGACGCGGGCCGTTCTTGAGCCCGTTCTTGCCTGCAGGTGCACCAATCTTCTTGGCCTTGAAAGCAGACTTGTCCGCCTGCAGCACGACGTCATTCGGCGAGTCTGTGTCAAATATGCGGAAGAAGTTGTGGTACGAGCCCGTTAGCACGTGCCTGGGTTGCAAGTCAATTAGTGATGGTTCGGGAAATAAAAAGGGATCGATTGGAGAACAGTGGAGCAGAAGATAAAGAAAGGGGTAAGGGCACGATGAGAGTGAATACGAACTTATCATCTCCACTCCATACACACTCAAACTTATCAAAGATGCAGTCGTTCTCATACAGATCGCAAAGCTTGCCGCGGAGGTGATCATGGATAGGAATGGTCTTCACAGGACGCGACTCCATATTAATGTCCCAGATCTTAAGGGAGAGATAGTCGCGCGACAAGATATACCGCCCGTCATGACTGAACTTGACATCAGATATAGAAGATATGATCTCGGAGAAGAAGGATCGGGATGTGGGGTCCTCTTCTTCTTCGAAGCCTGCACATGATTCGATGTGAGAGGCAAAGGGTTTAAAGATTTAAATGAGGTACGTACATTTTGCATGACGGTCGCATAGTGCGGAGTCGCGCATATCTGCGAGCTTGATATTACTTTTTGAGCTCGAGTACATGAAAAGGTTGCATTGCTGAGGGTGGAATTCCGCTGCGGTGATAACTTCTGTAAGTTCTTCCATATTCACAGGTTTGATATCCACGATGTCTATTAGTCATGAGCGTCTTCTCTAGATCAGGGTAGTAGAGGAAGGAGACTTACTAAAACTCTGATCACTGATGCCGAGGTTCCAAAGGTTGATGCGTAGATCGTCTGCGGAGATGTAGGTTTCCTGGTCGGAATTGACAGATATGGAATGGATGTGGTAGGCATGTGCATTGGCGTAGACTTTACGTGGGACTGCGGCGATAATGTTGTCCTGTGGCTGCATGCGGGGGAGCTTGAGATGGGAGACAAGACTTGGGGGTGGAAGGGCACGATGGCCATCGAGGTGGTTTGACTCAGAGACTACGCGAATACTCTTCTCAAATATTTTCCAGAGTTTGATTGTCTTGTCTATGTGTGGGATTAGTCAGAAGTGCTGGGAGGGAAAGGGGTGGCAAACCGTTAGTAGAAAGTAAGAAGTGGGCGGTATTTTGTCGTCTACACCACTTGATCTTGTTGATCTTCTCCTCGATTTCAAGAGACTTTAGATAATCGAATTCGGGCTCGTGTGACTGGAACTCTGTGTAAAACTTGTACTCGCAGCCTCTTTTCTAATGATCGCGTGGCGTAATCAGGGTTTTAATATGGGAACAATGGAATGAGAATGATACTCACAGACTCGTTTCGCTCAAAGAGAACGACACGACCACCTTTGTCGCCTGTGGCGAGGTAATTTCCAGTTGCATCGAACTCGACTGTGGATATGATGTCGGCTGCGGTATCCCATCGATGCGGGTCAGTTGAACCAGAGAGTCGATCAGAGTGGGTGCACGGACCTTCTGTGATGTCGTCCACTTCACCCTTGTCACCGAAGCATTGTGCAAAGCGCCAGCTACCAGAGCCTGATGGGTCGATGTCCATGATTGTAGCGTGGCTAGAGGGGGTTCGCTGTGATTGTTATAAGAGTAGTTTAGAATTGATTTTTTGATCTAATTCTGATTTGTACCGCAAGATGAAAGACAGCTAGATTGATGATTGTACGAGTTTAAAGGTTCAGGGTAGCGAGCTCGTACAATGCCAATGCTAGTCAAGTGGATGAGATGAGCCGTTTTGTTGTGCTCTTGTTTGGCTACACCCACACTACCTGGACCCGGCTTGCACCGTAACGTTCAACATTGAAAACAATCTTTAATCCAACAATGCCTATTGCACCAATCACTGGCAAACTTAGAAAGAGACTGTGGCTCGACCTTTCGGTCGCCCTTGGTCTCGGCGTCTCATCTGCTTATGCTTTTTGGTAAGTAGATTGTTTTTCGGCTTCTCAAATCATGCTCATATACGGATAGGTATGGCGTACATCTCAAGTCTGGTACGTCTGGGTTGTCGTGGCACCTCATTTGTTAACGCTGACTCGCTGCAGTACAAAGGCAGGAGGAGTTTTACTTCAAGCTGGAGCGGGCAAAAGTGCAGCAGTTGCAGTGATAATTGCGCTTTAGTGTACACTGAACCTCTTCCAAACAATGGACTGTATCCTCCTTAGAAGGAACGTCTTTCTATTGGACTGCCTAGGAGGGACACCTCGCCTGCATATGGTTTTAATCTATTGCACTGGTGCATGATTGGGCGATTCTTTGCGTGTGTCATCCTCGACCTTCTGTACGACATCGAACGGGGCGGGTCTTCCGTACACTTCAGCTTCAACTTTTGTCCTTAGAAAACAGACCAAGGGAGCAAGGCACATGTTGGCATTACTCGGAATGGCACGCTCAAAGGAGATTGCTTGTATGAGTGAAAACTGTACTCAAAGATCTACGAAGTACACAAAATGTCTGGCAAGAATCAAGGCATCCTCCTGACAAAAATAACAGGCAGATGGTTTCTTGAACCTGACCACGATACTACGTATCTCGTTTTTGCCGTGTTGTTTAACGCCTTTGCCACAAGAAATAGATGTGCAGGACGTAGATAATCAACGGCAGTTCATGCAAGATGATCTCGCCGTCAAGCGTCTTCAACAGAAAACGCTGATTGAAGATCGCATGAAGCCGCGAGCATCATACATGAGTACTTCCAACAAAAGTTTTGGAGGATAATAAAGCGCTGCCAGTGTTTGCATTTATTTATTCTGCTGATATAATCGCCTATTAATATGATGCAGCGTGTCGTAGTAGTACTACACGAACTCTTAGTCGAGGGATGAGTGCTAGAAACACCCACAAGGGGTTCGGCTCATCACACGCCATCCCTCCGAATCCTATCTTTATTGATTTCCCAAGATCTGACGGTGACCCAAGCAAATGGCCCACAAACACTACCCCCCACATTGACAGCGAGGGCCATGTAAACTTCATGCGACAGGCTTCCCTTGATGAATCGTTATCGATCAAATGGCGTGTCGAAGTCGGTGCAGCCCTTGCCACAAAGCTTAACATGGCTCGTGAGCACTTCCTTTCATCTACTGACCACCGATCATTTATCTCATTCTTTCAACAGAGGGCAATCATGTTTTGCAAGGATGGCCTGAGGGCTATCAGATGTTCGATCACAACAAAGGCCCAAAGGATAATCCTCGTCATGATGCCTATCTTATAGGTGAGCTATGCTTCCCCGTCAACGCAATTAGTTAGTGTTTACCATTTCAATGCTAAAAGGCTCTACCTATGCCAAACGTTTCCGCTCTGTCCCAGAGTTTATTCCCCACGCCCTATGGCTGCTTACAGACCCCACGCTTGACCGTAGCAACTGCAATTGCAAGTATTGCAATAAAAAACCCCAACGTGAAATCACTGCTTCCATGGGTCTTCTTCCAAAGCGCGGCGGCTCCGCGCCCTCTGCTGCAAACACACCCACACGGACAATTCAAACCCCTAAATTGAAACGCCAGCCTCAGCCACCCAAAGATAGGCTTGTTCGGGATCAAGAGAAAAGCTCACGCGACAAAGAAAGATTTAGACCATATGTCGGTGTACGTCGCATGCCAAAACCTGTCAGACCGCCTGCACCAAAGCAAAGCATGCTCAGGGAGCGTAACTCCGATTTGAGCTGTGCCTATGGTCCCGAAGTCAAGGTTCGTCGATGGTTCCGTGACGGCGAACTCCTTTGGTGCGCATTGAACAACCCAATCGAAGGGCCCAGTGGCCCAGGCGGCGACGATTCCATCTTTTTCTGGCCAGGTCTTGTCGAAGAGACAAGAATGAAGCCTACGCCTATTCCAAAGGGCACAGATATGGATATCCTTGATGGACCATCAAACGGTCATCCGAGCTCAAACGGTCATCCGAGCTCAAACGGTCATCCGAGCTCGAACGCTGAATCCAATGGTGATGAAGGAGTCCCTTGGATCATCCGGCACGACCTTTCTTACAAAATGAAACTTCTTGGTATCTCCCAATCATTGTATATTTCAGACCAACTTGTTCTTCCGTATCAATCAGTTGCCCCTTCAGATGAGCTTATCCAAGCTATCCATGCAGTATCTTATGAGGACCTCGACCCAGACCCCGCACGCACTTTCGCATTCAACCCCTATTCCACCTCATCGGAAGTTACCTTTGCAAAAGCCGCAGCCCCGTATGGTATTGCGCTGCAGATCGGCGCAAATATTTCTGGGTATTGGACACCCACAGACGACTGGGAGTTCAAATTCAGCCTTGGATACCCCAATTCCGGTCCACCACAATCAATCAGCACATTCCAAAGTCTCGATTCAGTGATGAACTCGAGTATGGCACATAATGCTAACCTCGCCTCGTCCATGGCGACGCCCTCTGGCTCAGGCTCTCACACGCCTAGTATCTCTGCACCGCTACCCCCACTGGCACTGGTCCAGACAGTCGTGCAGACACGCTACCAAGGCTTGTGGTGGGGTGCAGAGCGCATCTGGACAGACGAGCTTATTCGGCTCAAATTTTCGCGAGCCCAGATCGCTCCTGAAGGAAATGACCTTATTGATGCACCTGCTGGCCCAAGTAAGAAGGCGCAGGAGTATGCGCGATCTATGGGCGGCCAGGTCGGTGGCGCTGAGGGGCGGGCCGTGTTCATGCGCCTCGAAGGATTATTCGTTGCCGATCCGCCGAGTGGAAGAGGATCCAAAGTCTGCCATGCAGTAGGGACGCTTTATGAACTCGTGGATGAAGACTGGGAGGAAGACTGGGACGGCCAGGAGATGATAGTTGACAAAGGAAAGGGTAAGGCGATCGAAAATGGCAATTCAAACGTGGATGGGTCGTTTGAGTTGGATGCTGTACCATCTGGACTTTCATTCATGAATGGTACATCCCCACTGAAACCACCTCCACTCGCAAACCCAGACCCAGCGATTCCCGTGGAAGGCACGACAACAGACGTTCTTTCACACAGCAACGTAGTTGGCGCTTCCACTTCTGCATCTACGGCACCACAATGTGACGCGAACAGCGCGCTCTCGCATCCAGTCCTCAGTGCCTTCCCACTGCCAAAAGCCCCCGACGGATTTAAGTTTCGCCCCATCCTGAAGCCGGGCTATGAGATTGTCGTAGATTTGACGTGGATCGCGGGGCGGTATTACCCAGGCCTTCTCGAGCACCGGCTGCTTGACAGGCACGTCGAACGTGCGCTTACTGCTGGTGGGACGCAGTTATGGGCTCTCGAGGGCCTGACGGCTGGATGTTATAATGCGATGGACCCAACGAAGTGGAAGCCCACTCGCACGACGATGGTCCGGGAGGCAAGCCATGATGCGCGGGTGGGGCTCGAGGAGCACTGGAAGAACAAGGAGAAGGAGCGTCAAGAGGCGAAGCTACTGGAGGGGGCGTTTTTGCTACCGCTGCCGCCATCGGGAATGGATACTGGCGAAGGGGGATCTGGGCTGGGTGAAAGTTCTGGCGCTACTGTGCTGGGATCAAACGATAACTTTGTGAATGGCGAAGAGAGAATGGAATTGAGAGTAGCGGAGAATGGGATGCCGGAGGAGGTCGCGATGGTGGTTGATTAGTGAATTGGGGGCTGTCTTCCATATTGGTCCCTTGCATGCCATCTAAGTACCCCGCTAATTGTTTCCATGGAATGTACTGTATGTGAATGTCTGGATGTTTCTTGAGCACTCTCGACTCCGCATAGTCACTTATAAGCCTTCGGTGGCTAATTGTAGGTGGTTTACTGTATCGTGACTAGTACGTGCGTCGTGCGCCCCGAATGCTAGAGTAGGCCATGCTCTTCCTACGTCTTCATAGTGCTAGTTATTCCAACCACAAATACATCACATCCATTGTTGTCGATCTCACCTGCACCACACCATGTGGCACGTGGTCTGGCGGAAGCGCCAGAGGTCCCGGCTCAGTGGCAGGAGTCCTGGCTCGGGCTTTCCATTGCAGTCCGTGCCTGTTCCAGTGGTGTGTCATTTTCCCATTTTTGAAGATCCGTCCTGCAGTCTTCTCATTTTAAATTCTAGCGCCGCAAACGTCAGTCCGATGACGACAAATGTAACGCTTTAGCCTTCAAATGTCAGTCTGCCATCCTTGTGGACGATCCCGAACTACCTTCTACCATCTCCGCTCACGTTGTCGATCCTTTTGCTGCCGCTAGCATGACGTCCGAGTCTGCACCTGAGCCGGTCCCAGCGTCCCGCAGGCGAGACATTACCAATGCCAAGCCGCCCGATACTGCATACACCGTGTACGAAGGTGATGCTGCCACAACCAAGTCCAACTCTATTTATTCATGTTCCTGCTTTCTACGGTCTTCGAACTGTACCGTCACCCCGTCATCTGTCACTTACTTTATCTTGTTGTTATCTGCTAGCTCCTTTACATTTCTCTGCGCATACCGGCCTGACGGTGTTTATGTGGTTGTCAGGTTCCCCTCAAACCCGTTACGTATACATCTGTACCCTTTGGCACTGCGCGACTACCCTGCGCCACCTCTCACCATTGTGAAGGATTATTCAATGCTCGAATGTGCTTTTACTTACCAGTCAACGATCTCTCCTCGTCGATGCCTGTTTCTTACTATGGTACTGCTCACCAAGAGCTTTTCTCAGTTTTGCCGCCTATATCGTTATCATTTTTGAGGATTTTCCGGACCCCTCCTCCTTACGCGTGGTCGACGCTGTAGGACGTTTAGTGTGCAAGCGCCTGGCCTTCTAATTCAGATATGTTTACTGGTGGACAGACAAGTATTACGCGTTGACCCTGACGTAAACCGTCCGACGTCTTTCTAATGGAGCCTTCCAGGTCAAGTGTTCGAAAAATTGTCTCACTCTCCTCAAATTGTGCGCTGACGTAAATGTTACACCCTACCAAACACCTCGATGACATGGCTAGCCTGTCATAATGTTAATTTCACGGCGACCCTCTCCAATCATATGCATTTGTAGCCAACACCGCGGCGACTGCCAGTAGTTTCAGGATCCGTGTCCATTCAAACTTCGTTTCTCCCCTCCATATTTATACGTTGGATATCATTGCCAGTGAAAGTCAAGCGCTGGATGGCTTATAGCTGTCTAGGTACCTTTTAAAACGTGCTAGCTCTCCTCGTCGTTAGATCGGTCTTACCGTTGTGACTGTTTCGACCATGCCTTTGTCCCTGCAGTTCTTGGAAGATGTCTGGGTGCGGAGGTATATCTATATATCGTACACATCGTCGAATTCTCACCTAATATTGTCTAGGTCGTTCTCCGCAGCTGGCCATACATTACTAGTCTACGACTATCTCCTAACTTTCACAGAAGAAGTGAGTTTATCATGTTATATGCGTGATATGAATGTTCACAATATGCCCTTGGTTGCAGTTCATCTACATCTGGAAGGCCCCCTGGACGGTTATGAAAATCATGTTTCTTCTCAGCAGGTATGGAAACCTGATTGGACAGACTACCATCCGGCTGGAAGAGGCTGGTCTCCTTGCACATGATTCTCAAAAGGTATGTTGTAGTTTCATGAGTAGACATGATATTTAGCGAGTGGCTAATTTCGTGTCAGTTCTGTCGAGGGTTTTCAATTTTCTCCACTTGCTTCACGCTTGTGTCCGTCGAATCGATCCACAGTGCGTACATCTGCTCGATAATCATTGCACGTCCTGAGGCCTGAGGGTTTTGGTTTTCCTCAGTCCTCGTGCTCCTGCGTGCATGGGCTATCTGGGGAACTCGAAGGCGTGTGACGAACATCTTCGCCTGGAGCTACGTGGGCTGCATCGTTGTGCTGATGGTTAGCTCAGTGTATGGTTTATACACCGGTAACAGTAGGTCACTTTGCACCGTTTTTATTTTCATTTGTAAGAATGGTTTCGCTTCGGTAGTTCATTTTCAATTCCTCGAGGTGGCTCAGGTTTGCGTGGCGACAGGGCCTAGTAGGTGATGGTTATTTGGCTCCTGCAGCATACTGATACATTGCTACTTCAAAGATTATGTGGTTGGTCGCTTTTACATCGTGTTTGGTATATTGACAGACGTCTCGTCGGCCTTGATGATATTGTAACGCTAGTGGTTAATTTACTTTGGAAGGTTAAGATGTTCTGTTCTGTGTGCTTGCGCTTGCTGAAAACCATCAATCAAGCTTTATTCTCGATGCAGTAACCTTCGTCTTAACGATGCGAAGTCTCCGGATATATTCCAGGGAATTTCAGCAACTCTACCCGTCTAGTCTCCTCCATGTACTCTTTCGAGACGGTGAGCGTGCTTTCTGGAGTAATTCGTCCGCAACTGACTACAATTGTATAGCGATCTTATTTTTCATCGTGAGCGTAAAAAATCTTCATGATGTATCTCGTTGCTGACAACACGAATAGGCTAGTACGTTCAGTAATGCATTGACCGTTATCTCTTGGTGAGACTTGCTTATACTCTTGACTCGTTCTATGGCCTTATTATGTTCAGGACTGCATTCAGGACCGTCAGTATTCTTTATCCTTAGCGGACCGTCGTTCTTTCTGACTGATTTACAGAATCCAACATATTTCCTTGCTAAAGGGTACGTTAGCCGTAATGCAACCCCATCACATTCGGTTATGATATTGATATTGCATGTAGATTCGCGACTCCGTTACTTTCGGTAGCTGGCCAGCGCCTAGTCCTGAACCTTCGGGGTCTTCAAACGCGTTCCTACGAAACTCACGATCTCAGCCGTGAAGTGGACCGGCAACTACAAGCATTTGCTGCAGGGTGTTCTCCAGGAATGGATAATGTAGAAGAGTTGGAAGGTGTGCGGGAGTAGGTAAGTATCGGAAATATGGTTTCAAGGTTTATCTTGGTTGACTTGGTAACCATATGTTGTACATAGGGTGGTTGTTCACTACCAAAATTGACTGAACATGGGCGACCCTTTGTGCTCATTTTTGTTCCTAGAATTTCTTTTACGTTTCCTATGCTCCTTTTAAATATCCGTGTATATCCAGTATCAGGTGTATCCTTCGGTCGGAATGACTATCTCCGACTGACTGCATGCATTAGTGATAGACTAACTTGTAGCTAGCCTGCCTTGTAATGTTCTATCTTCTGTATAGTGGTGATTCGATGGTCGCGGACCAGTCTACCATACCACGAGAAAATATTGACAGTATACACGAGATCGCTAGTATTCCTTCGCTACCTGCCCAGAAACATGCATTCATGAACTCGGGTCGCCACGACCCTCATGGTGCTCAAGATAATATCATGACCCCACCGTCATCCTTCCCATTGGGAATTCTCGCGACCCTCTGCACCCACACGACCAGCGTTAGGCTAACACGGGCGTCAGTGACTCACAAGGTCCTGAATCAGCGCAAAGTGACTCTAGGTTTGCTTGGTCACTTTAGTCATGGTGACTGCAACTACAATGAAACGCACTGTCAAATTCAATGCCCAAGGTATAGTATGTACTCAGGGAAGTAGCTAAGCAATTGCTTTAAAGTTGAGTGCTGTAGACAAACATCACGAGATAGAGATCTGTTACGAATGGACCGCAGCAATGACATGTGCCTTACAAAGTGCTAACCTTTGCAGTGAAGTACCCACGGAATTTACCTCTCGTCCTCGATCTAGATCTGGAAACATGTTCAGGATCAAGATATTAGCGAGCTAGTATTCAGTCAGCGATCCGATGCCAACAGCTTACTTTTTGTTATGTAAATCTGCTCCTGCCGGCGACAGCCTGAGTACTTGTGTTCTCCGTGGGAGTCAAACCGTATGTGTACCGTCGGCTCGTTATCAAGAATGCCGCTCTTAAGTAAATTATGTTTCTCTAGCCATATGCATCCGGCTGTCGATGCATTTGATGTGAGTCAAACGTTTCGGAGGCCGCCGATCGAGGCACAACCAACAATATGCTGAGAGAAAATGTCTTTGTGAGTAATACATTATTTGCATGCTGAACAATACCTGAGAGCAGGAAGAAGTCTGAGTTTGATAGAAGCTCGGAGCAACTTGAAGCATAATGCTGCGGCGCAACTTGAAATTGACGGGCCACGTGACCGAAACGCCGACAACCTCAGCAGATCTTGGCTCCCAACGTGTGCACACCTGATCCGCCCTGATCGAATATTCTATGGCCGACCTGGGCCCGGTACCCCCTTAAAGCCTTCTCACTAACTCAGTGCAATGTGCCAAGATGTGTCCCCCTGACTTGATGATCTTGATTTTTCCATAAAATCATAGATTAATTTTACCCGAGGGGCTCTGCAATGTTCACTGTCCTTCAAGGTACTTTCGGTCGACGTTGCTAGCAATTACTGCGCAGTGCCCAAGAGCCTGACCGTTCTAAACTTCTAATATTAATATTCTATACATGAGAGTACTTATACACCCTATGTTAGACGCTACATCAGGTCTAGTCCATACATATACACATATTCAGCTTGCCCAACTTCGCTATGAACTAGGTGAAATCTTATAAGATGTATTTACATCGCATATGATTGGAAACCGTGATGGATATAGGGTAGAGTACACGATGAGAGGGATAGAGGGCGTTCCAGAAACCCCTACCAGGGTCCAGGCCCATAAGCCACCCACCATTGCGGTGGATGCCCAATCAACTTGGTCAAGGTGTTGAGCTGTTTCTGCGTAGGACGCATTTCAAAATCTCCTCTATCCGAGCACACATAAAACACCTGAACAGTGTCAATCTGAATGGCATCCAGTACTTCGTCGGGTGCATCGTCGTATTTACCGCGGAACACACCGATCCACTCTGGAGGGATGACGCTTCCCGGCGGGGGATTCAAACAATTTCTGTAGTCCAAGTAATAGATGCCCGACAAAGATGCAAGGAGTTCATAGGCTCGCGTCGTGCCAATGTCTTCATAGTCTGTGTGATCGCGATCTGGTAGATCCTCTGGGCAGTGTTGCTCCGCGAACCGGACGAGCCATTCAGAAGAGACTGCATATCCGTAGCACTGAATGTTATGCGCCAGGGGTGGTCGGGCGATTTTGAAGGGTCGTCGTTTCTTGGGACGTCCAGTCTGCTGCGGAGTCGCAGTCTTTGAGAAATGTTAGAGAGAACATGGAATCTAAGCATACATATCCCACCTTTAAAGCTTCAGACAGTTTCGAAAAAATAGAGGGCATGTTCGTGATAGAGAGGCGAAAATATGTAGCATACACTCTTTGACTGACTTGAAGGCGTGACTCCTAGCAAGGTGTCGGACAGAGACCGACTCAGAAGTCTGCGTTTTATAAGTATGTTGGCACCGTGGATCCACAAATCAATTGTGGACAATACATTGATGATTAACAATAAGCGCGGCAGTGTGCGCTGATTTACCTTCTAATTCGAGAACAAAGCTAGTCATTCCCGAATTTGCGCAAATCCTGTCACGGTGTGCGGACTTCAAGCAATGATTCCCGCATTCTCAACAGTCGGAAGATCGTTCTGCTGGTTGGTGAACAAGGCTAGAACGAATAAGAAAAGGAGAAAAAGCATGCAGTTCTCTGCTTTTTTGTGCGACTCCCGTATTTGCGTGATCGGTACCATTGCCTCGTATAAGTTCGGTAGAGATATACCGAAATCGACCATCCTGTGGATGTTCGCATAAAGCAACGCATGGAGGCGGAGATTGGCCACGCGGTATGTGGTCAAAGCAAGCCATTATCAAAATCGTTATTCATATATATCCACTCACTTTGGATCCTGTAGCTACTTCTCACATGCACGACGTGGAACGTAGACTCGTAACCACTGGTCAGGGAACGTCGTGGTTCCCTTTCTCGTAATAAACAAAATATATGTAAACAAACAGCTTGCAGAGGTAATTCGTTATTACCGACGCCGTTCCCAATCCCCAGTCAACGTCGAGAAAATACTCATATCATCGCAGCACTGTCATGACGCGTAGCGAGCGCTTCAGCATTGAAGTACGGTGACTACGGGTCCAATCATCAACTTCCTTTCAACCATCAACGTTTCAACACCCCCAAACACTTGAACGTCCCGCAACCGCATCAGAATCCCGAGTCCGAGTCCGGTTTACACGCTCTTCGTACTATGCACACCCGATATATCGAAACCACATGGCAAAGTTGATCAGATGTGGGCTATAGGAATTTCTAAAATAGTGACGGATTGTCGGAACGAGCTGCGGTATCAGAATCATGTACTAGTCCCGTACTCATCCCTCCACGAAACTAGGTGAAGGAATTCAATTGCTCCAAGGTTGCGCAAATCAGGCAAGTGCACTGTGTCGCAGTACCTCTCATGTGCCTTCACTACTTTGTCAATTGAACACTAAGGACACGATTTGAATTGATGGCGAACTCTTGAAGACCCCAAGTGCAAGCACTTAAGTGAAGCTTTCTTGAAGCGCAAAGGCAAAGTAGGCTCTTGACTTACCATGTACCCATACTTGTCGACGTGGCAATGTTTTACAAGCATGTCATATGCCTCTCGATAACGGATGAAAACATGAAAGCAGATGAACATTCACGACGCAATGCACGAGTGATATGAAAAAAATATACCATGGTATCTCACTCCAATTTCACAACGACAGCCCAATCATCCACCACGCGCACTGCAGGATCTTTGATGACCAATACCCCCGCCCCATCCTTCGACGCAAATTCCCACTCAAGTTCACTTCCGCCCTCCAAAACAACACTCAAAGGCTTCTTCCCAAGTCCAAGAACAACCAACTTTTCCACTCTCACATCCCCCACACTGCGCGCGAACTCGTTCTTGGGATCGTACGCACCCACTTGCGTTCTTACGGCAAGATCGACAGACGAGATGCGTACCGCCCCAATCCCTTTCCCTTTTCTTTTCGTGCTCTCCGCACCGAACCCACGCCAAACAACATTCCCTTTGTCGTAACCATACGTCTCGCCATCATCAAGATACACCTCCCCGCGCGCATTCCCCGAAGTATCAAGCGCGACGCGGAGTGTGAACGGGTCGTGTTTCATCAGTGGCGAGGAACGGCGCGGACGTTCGCGGGTGGGGATGATAGAGCCTCCGCGGATGAGAAGGGGGATTTGGTCGAGGTTTGCGGGGAGGGTTATCTGTCGGTTTTTGGGGCGGTGGGGCTGGTTGGTGAAGTAGTCGTAGTAGACCTAGGTAGTTGGGTGTGCGTAAGTGCCAGAGTGTATGGAGAAATGAAAACAAAGAACCTGATCCTCAGCAATATACACAGAAACCTCCTTCACCCCCTTCTCCGTCACAGGCTTAACAAGTAACCCCGACGACCCAACATAAAACTGATCATCAATTCCAAACCCAGCATCGTCCTTGGGGAACATAACATATTGAGGCCTGCGCGTTCACGCACACATCGATCACATCGTCCAATGGAGGAAGAAAAAACGCACCGGAGAATAGGAACCCCGCTCTCACTCGTCTCCCTGAACGCAGTATACCACACAGGAAGCATCGAATACCTCAACCTCAATATATCCCTCACTAAACTCTTGTAGGGCTCCTCAAGAAGGTACGGTTCTCGGCGTTTCGTGTCGATATGCGCATGTGCGCGGAAGAAGGGCGAGAATGCGCCTACTACGTACCAGCGCACTAACATTTCTGGTTCGGGGTTTCCGAAGAAGCCCCCAATATCAGCTGTGAGCAAGTGGATAATCAGAAAGGAGGGTGATAGAGAAGAAAGGAAGGACTTACATCCAGCAAAAGGCATCCCCCCAACCCCATTCGCAAGCACCATCTTAATCCCAACAGCCATATGCTCCCACGTACCAAGATTATCGCCGGTCCACATCGCACCGAAACGCTGAGAACCGGCGTAAAAGGCGCGAGTGAGGACGAATGGGCGTCGTGGGGGGTCTGTGCGGGCTTCTGCCGCTTGGAATGTGTGATTCGCCTGCAGGGAATTGGTATTGTAAGCTTGACTGACAGTCTCAGAAAAGAAGATGAGGGACGTACAAAGAGCATTCCGTTGATGTTGTGCACGTCTCTGTGCTCCCAACCACCGTAATGGATGTTATCTTTTGGCATCGTGATTTCTGGTCCGTTAAATACTGACGGCTAGCAGTTCGTGTTCGCTGATAAATAGGCAAACAACTCCAACATCAAAGAAAACGTACCTCGTTCATATCGTTCCAAATACCGACATTGTTGGTGCTCTCTGTCCAACTCCATTGACCATCGATAGTATCCGTCTTGAACAGTGAGATCCAAAAGTCCCAAGAACCAGGATGGAAAAAGTCGATCCATGAGCTGGAGCCGGGCCAACACCATCCTTCATATTCGCCCTCACCGTTCTTGGGTTTGACGAGGACTTCTAGTTCGGATGCGCGTTTGTATACCGGGTAATCATTTGAGCGTTTTAAGTGGGGGTCGACAATGATCACCATCTAGCGCGTATATGCGTGAGCGCAAGGTTCATTACAAAAGATGAATCAATGAATGAGCGAAACAAAACAGACCTTTCGCTCGACAGCCTCCACATCCTTTGTCATCTCCACCGGATCCGGGAACGTCTTCTTATTCCACATAAAGTACTTGTGATCCTCCGCATATTCGATATCCAACCAAAAGACATCCACCGGAAAATCATCCTCATCGAACCTGTCCTGTACACCGCGCACGTCATCTGAACTGACATAGTTCCAGCGGCACTGGTGATATCCGAGTGACCAGTGGGCTGGGAGGGGCGCTGTTCCTGTCAGATGTGCGTATTGGGTGAAGACGTCGGCGGGTGTTGGGCCTGGGAGTAGGAATACGTCCAGGATCCCAGATTCGGATATCCAGTGCGTTTCTACACCGCCTTTTTCCACATGAGCAATATCGATCCATGTTTCCGACGCAATGGCATTGAAAACGGCCACCGTCGACGTTGCAGAATGCGCATGCATGAGCGGGATCGAGCCGTAGAGAGAAGTTGGCGAGTCTGCGAGGTATTCGAAGACATCTGCATTGTAGAGACGGAAGGGGTCGGTGTATCTTGCGGTAGGGCCTGTTGTGCTTGGGAGGGAAAGGTTCGTAGCATGTTGGGGGATTCCATATACGTGGGCGTGGTTGGGGAAAGTTATGTCGAGGGAGAGTGATTCGGGACCTGTGGACGTTGGGTGCTGTAGTCTCAGTGTCGATGGTAAGTGTGGGACGTACCTTTGGGTTTTGTGTCTGTCCACGTGGAGAAGGTTTCGTCCCAAAAGGCGTCTTGGGTGTCGCCTTCGAACCATGCTGCAGAGTTGACTTGGAGGACAGATTGACCCTCGCCTTCGATATGCTCAGCCAATTTAGAGTCCTCCTTTGTCCTGAAATGTTCCATGTGCATTAAACCGCGCCCGTTCAATACAACCTGTTCCACACCACCCCGGAAAAGCGTGATTTTGAGAGGGTTAAAGTCGACGACGAGCTCCATATCCTTCTTTGGTCCATAAACAGCCTTGGCTTTTTTACTGTCGACGGTCCAGAGGACATCATCACTCAACAAAGGTTCCCCAATGAGCGCCCACTGAGTAGCTTCGTTATATCGTTTCCTCAGTCCGTTCTCTTCGTCCATTCGCACGCGCACAATGCCCTCCTCGTGTATAATAACATCAAGCACGAATTTGACATTGGGATAGACAGACGAATGGACATTTGTGGTGAAGCCTGGTTGATGAGGGCTAAGTTCTGGGGGTTTAATTGAGTACGGAGAATGCCATGATGATAATTCTTGGGAGCGTTCTGCGAGGGCACGTCCTCTGCGACAGAAACCAGACTGGGAGCATGTCTTGAAGTCGGATGGTTTAAAGGCGAGGACTGTTGGGAGGAGGAGTAGTAGGAATGTCCCTGGGGACCACATTGTCTCGGTCGAAGTTGAACTATAGTAGGTGTAGCGCAGTTAGATCCTGGGAGTGCTTGAAGCAGCAAGTACGGCAACGTGACGGTCCGATCAGCCTTCCTTTCAACCATCAACTTGAACATCCCGCAACCATACCAGATGAAACTCGTCCGTCTACCAAAGCATCCTCTCTCGATTGACTTATCCAGTTTCCGAGGCAACAATGGGGTGAGTTGTGAGTTGGGTAGGTTAGGGTATTTGAAATCAGTCTCTGATGCTATTACATAGATGAGTTGGGCCTATCACTTTCTGAGTAAATGTCTGGTTTCCGCTGTTTTTGATTGATTTAACTAGGAAACCATGCAACGAGTTGACGAGACCGCAGTGCTCCCTGCCCACCGTTTAGAGTCCGTCCGAAGAAGCAGCTCATGGTTATGCAGTTTCCTCTGAATGGCTTGTCTGAGAAGCTACGAGTTTAATGCCGAGATACGAGCACACGAAGTTCGAGCACGTCGCAATTCCAACGGACTTTAGACAAGCTGCGGCGTTAAAATTATGTACTAGTACCATGCTCATCCCAATTGCATGTCCGAGGCCGCAGGTGAAGGAATTCAATTGCTCCAAGGTTGCGCAAATCAGGCAAGTGCGTCGTAGTACCTCTCACTACTAATGTGGCCCGAGGCGCAGTGCGGTTTTTCTGTGGCGCTAGGATGGACTTCGCTGACCATGAATGGAATAATTTGGATGCATACCTCGTCAACAGACACACAGTCTGCAGCATGATGATCTCGCAAAACGGGAAGATCTTTAAATATTTGTAAGAAGTCCAGTTCGGAGGATCAAGGGCAGAGCTGAGCGCTCATTTGTTGATGGCTTTGCCGTCTCAGTTCCTTCATAACGTTCGATGGCGTCGACTTCATCACTGCCACGATTGAAAAGTGGCAAGCGGTATTGAGCAAAGGGAAACTCTGTGGCTGGCCCAAGCGTGGGTCGAAGTATCATATTTCTGGATGACAAGTGGAAACATAATCAACTGTCGACGACGATTGCAACGACGAGGGCTTACCCCTATTGCTCAGCGCAGCTTAGCCTGGACAACTCATGAACCACGCCAGCAACGTCGCTGTGGGGGACAGTACAATATTGATAATGTTTGAGTGTGATGATTTGGGTCAAAGGTTGCTATATAGGCTATTTCGTTATTATTGATAACTACAAATATCAAGCTTATAAGGATTAATCGTTTACAAATATCGCTCTTCGACAGACTACTACTCGGATCATCATTACGATACTGGCTGCACACCATTCACGAAACTTCAAGAGGCTCATAACGGCAGAGACAAGCATCAGTGACCGTGTAGTTGAACTTTGTCCTTGAATTATTCGCTAGCCTTAGCTACGTCTGGCGTGGTCCTCCAACCGGCGTGGCCCATCAACTCACAGCCAGTAGCTGCAGTTCACATCAACAGTTCATATAATAGCTGTCCCTGTTGATGATGGTTACCCTTCTTTCTCCAGCCTTGTCCATGTCTACCTCCGACTCTACCCCGTTCTCTCAGTACCGTTCTCTCCGCCCGTCTCCAACACCATCCTCAAGTTCTTCATCATCCGGTGGCTCCTTGAATCATGCAGATGAAGGTGCGTCATTCCGTTCTCCAGTCCGTTGCCTCGAGGCAGGTGTTTACGGCAGAACAGAAAATCTCACCATCACCGCGTCGCGTTCATTGCTTGCGAGAAACAAGGGGAAGCGAAAGAGCCATGAGTGAGTTCTCTTTCGATTAACTTCAATCTGGCTCGTGACCTAACGCGCGCATTGCAGAGACATTCGTCTCCTCGCCATCTCCACACACATCACCGAACTCTCGTATAGTATATCGGACATCCAGACGCGTATATTTGGTACGCGACTTCTTAGCCCCATCCATTTCTTACTCACAACCCTCAGAAATACAGGAACTACGGCATAAATCTCAGTCTTCAGGTGATGCGGCCGCCACGACCATCGTCATCGACAAAGCTCTTATGACTCTTGATGAACGCCTTGAGGCTGTTGCCCATGGCATGAAATCCGTGTCTGAATCTGTCATCCCCTTTCAGAACCAGTCCAATGGTACCACCCCTGACTCCGAACAAGTTGTACTGGTCCGCAAGCATGCAGTCCTCGTCACCGAGTGGGAGGCCGTACAGAGTGACACAGATGTTCTCAGGGAGGAGTTGAAAGAGGATAAATGGCTTACTGTATTCAGAACCGTCACAGAACAGGCAGACGGAATGATGGGAAGCTTAGAGAAGGCAGTCAATCGTTGTCAGGTGTGTTCTTGTATTCTTGATATCTGTATCATCTTCGCAAACACCGCGCAGGATTTTATTTGGCAGGTACACAGAGGAGGTGCAGAAGATTCACTCTCGCAGTCCTCATACAGGGGCTCAGTTAGTTCAGACAAGAATCCACTGGGAATCGAAGTATTCAACGAGTTGCTCAGCTCGTTTGAAGCAAAGAAAAAGTGGATTTCTTCTTTTGCATTTCAATTCTCACTCACACTCCTTTTAGGCATTACGTCCCAGCCACGTCCAAGGTACTTGCAATCATTGACAATGGCGTGCAGAATCGTGTCACGAAGAACGGGGAGACACTCCGACGTCACGGGGAATCTGCTAAGAGGTGGCGGATCCTCAAGGAGCGAATGGCCAAGACAGAGAAAGAGATGGAAGTTGTGCGAAAGATCCTCACGGGTGGTGATGTGGTGCCAAGCGAATCAGGTTCCATAACATCGGGATATACAGCAAACGGGCTCCTTGCAACGCCCGCGAATCGCTCTTCGAAAGGTCGTGCACCGAGCCGAGCAACGAGTTCTACGAGCACTCTTTCGCGCAGCATATCGCCACTGAGGAAGTTTGCAAGGAAGATTGCTGGTCATGTGCGGTCGCCTCCGGTCCCCGTCACTCCCTTGCCCGTATCACGAGAATTGTCTTCGGTGTCAAGAGACTCTTCACAATCACAGGGTCCGTCATCGGAGCCAGCTAAGGCTCTTCGACGACAACGCACCTCTATATTCGCATTCAATCGGTCTACCAGTGGTGCCCCACTTACACCAGAGAAGGAACACAAGTATAGCCGCAGCCTCACGCCCGAATCTTCCTCCGCCCCCAAACGCCTTGACCGTATTGACGACCCGAATTCAACCGTGAAACTGAAAACGTCTAAACAACCATGGAACAGCTCAACAAAAGTAGAAGCGCCGGATCCTGCAGCGACCATCAAGCCCACTCCTCCAAAGCGGCCAAACGCAAAGTCTGTCCTCATCCCGGAATGCGCCCCTCTTGTGCCGAGCACGCCTTCACGAAGGAGCCTCAGCCGTAGTTCAAATGCGTCTTCACGGCCTTGGTCTCCCGTAACTTCGTCTGCATCCACAAACCCTTCCATTCCTCCTCTTCCACCTCTACATCCACCATCACGAGCTCAAACGCCCAGCCTTGGGGCGACACCACGCCCACGGCCCAAGACCCCAAGTCAAATTCCCGCCCCCGCGGTACACTGGCGCCCCGTGTCTGTGCGGCAGTCTGATGCTGATGACGACGAAGAGCTTACGACTCTGATGCAGCGCGCATTTTCGCCTCCGCATGCCAATACATCTCCCAGCACGTTCTGTTCGTATACCTCGAGCGGCGTACGCATACCCCCACCACGCCCTCCAAGCCGGTCACAAATACCCCTTCCCAGCGTGCACGTCTCCTCTGAATCGCGTCCCTCGTCAACGATGTCCTTCTACCGTCCCCAAAGCCCCCTTACTCCAGGGTCTCTCCTCAGGGCACAGACGCCCGAATCACAATTGAAAGCAAAAGCTCAACAGGTCCCGTTTTACGGAGGCGCAGGAAGCAGCGGGATGCGTGCATCTGCGCGGCAGACTGTCGCAGGGAAGCTCCCTCCTTCATCGTTTCGTGATTCATCGACGACCCGGACGCCCAACTCGCGTCCCGGGTCGCGGTCAGGGTCGTACACACCCATGGAGCGCGACCCGATACACTTGTACATCCCTGCGAGTGACAAGGACCCACTCGATGTGGAGGTGGCGGCGATTGTGAATGCGATCCCGCACGGGCTGCTGATTGAGCGTGTAGATCCCTCGCTCAAGGCGCCGCCCAAGGAGGGAGAGGAGATTAGGGCGTCGTATGCGTTTTCAAATAGTTTGAGTAGGAAAGTGGTGACTTGTAAGCTGACCACGCTGACGCGCTCCGGGGCAAGGGGTGGCGGGATGTCGAAGAAGGTTATGTGTCGGGTTGGAGGAGGCGAGTACCTGGTCTGTTTTTTCTATCAGTGTAAAGTGTTAACATGGATTTTTATAGGTTGGCAAGATTTGCAGTTCTACATGCTCAACCGTCAGTCAGGCATGTAGATTTGAACAAGGAACGGATACCCATGCATCAGACCTGAATTATTTTTTTCACTTTGCACTTTTTCATATTTCATCAATCACGATTCAGAACCGTCGCACATAGAGAATCGCTATTCGCGGAATAAGTTCACTGTATTGCATCATGATTATATCCTCATATTCATTATGTCCGCTTACGTTTTGTGCAGTTTTCTAATTCTTGTTATCCTGGCCAGGGTTTAGTTGCAGCTTGCTATTGAATTGCTATGATGTTTAGCTTACGAGTGGTGACGATCAAGTGACGATGTTTGGTTAGACGCGTACATGTCGACTCATCGATGCATCAATACTCATCCATCGAATATTAAATGTTACAGCGCATATACTCGGTCTCGTGCATGAGAAACTTCCAGCGCTCATCTAGCCATACTCGCATATCAACCCATTCTAATACCCCGGCCAACTCTTCACCTTCGAGAACCAAAACGACCGTTCGTTCCTCAGCGGCAGCGGCACCGCTTCCCCATCCTCCACATTTACTGAGTCATACCCAATAAAATCGAGCTTGTTCCACCGTCCGAGGGGACGTGAATGTAACGCGAGCGTCATCTGGAAGAAATACCTGTTCCGCTGCGGCTCTGTAGTGGCGTGCGCATGCGAAAGGTGCTTCTCGACAAGGTTTGTGATGTAAACAGTGCTACCGGACAGAGACCAGTTGCCAATGTAGAAACCCTGGGATGGATGTGGTTGAGTTTTGAGGTTGAGATGAGATGGGTGTGTGCATACCTTCATGCGCAGGCTCGGCTTGAGCATTGGAATAACGGTCTGGGGTTGCCATTCCTCGTTAGCGAGGAGGGATAACACCTGTCCGTTGGGGAAGAATCGGCTGGGATAATGTCAACGTAGGTAAGAGATGGCTCGGGCACGAGACTTACAGGTATCGATGATATGTGATGAGGTGAGTTACCTACAAGGGAGTGATAAACTCAGTACATCGAAAATTGTCAAAAAGTTTTCTACATACGTTTACCCAGGCGTTCTCGCTAGAGCCCATCCGCCTACGGGTTTTGTAAGAAAGTGGAGACAATCCATCTCTGACAGTATGACTTACATGTAATGGCAAACAGCAATGTAAACTCCATCCATCCGCAAGCGAGGATGTTCAATATAAGCTCTCCGGTAGTCCGAACTGTACAGTTCCATGATATTCGTTATAGACTCATTATCAGCAATTTGGGGAGGCTTATATGCCAAATGGACAAAATCTCTGTTGCAAATATTGATAACGCAAAGTACATGCAAGAGACAAGCACTATACCTCCAAATCGCAGAATCCAAACTAAGTATTCGTGCCTTACGACTGACAGCCGCAAACCGCTCAATCGTGGTGTAATCAAGAACTCGGAGGATCTGGAGCACAAGCTCGTCAGGGATGAGATTGATGGGTAGTCCTTCCTTCTCATTCTCCGGTTGAAAGACAAGATTCTCAGGAAAGTTCTTGAGCACTTGTGCCAGAAACCCTGACGTCACGAAGGATTTATCCTTGCTATCCTTGCGCACTTCGAGCTTCTGCACATCCCGTGTAACTTCATCTACAGAGACAGTAGATGGAGCCTTCTTGTGACTAGGTGGCTGAGTAGCAGAACGCTCATGTGTGCGTTGTTCTTCTATGAAGTACGCACGGTCGACGTTCGCATCGAGACGAAATGCCTGACGATAGAGCCGAAGAGCCTCATCTAGCTGGCTGTGCTGCTCATGAAAAACTGCTTCGCGGTAGACCTCGACAGCATGAGCCAGACTGGGACTGAGATGAGAGTGACCGTGAGATGCGTGCGTTGTGACGGCAGGCGCACCTGCGACGACATGGGTGGCAGGCCCCCGACTCGGAGATGCTGAGAGTGTGTTAGTGATAGTAGCGGTTTTCGCGCTGGCATCACTCCGAGCTGCGGGAATGATGCGTTCTGCAGCAGTGCTGGCACCGGGAACGGGTTGAGTTTGCACACCCGACGTGGCAGTCTGCCGTTCCCTGACCTCTGCCTTCCATTGTTCTCTAAAACGTGCGAGTTCTACAGGCTCCTGCTCTGGTGCCAGTACATCTGATGTCCCTGTGCTCATTCCACACCTGGGAGCTGATATTCAGCTAGTTGGACAAGAGTCAGAATATAATTTAGAAGCGCTTGTGAGTTCTTACTTTTACTAATACTAATTGTGACCGCCGGTGCCGAAACTTCGGAAGCAAAGGGCCGCCAACTTCTCCTTACTCACTGACCAGGTAGTCAACTAGTCATCACTAGTTTTGGCGGCGGGAATGCATGGTGACATCGCGAACATAGAGCAAGCGAAGACCACATTGTTGGCATAAATAAAGCATAGGGCGACCGCGTTGGCGGGGAATATGATGGAGAATCGAACAGGGTAATACTAATTAAGCCAGCAGTGTGCATAAGTCCAAGGGTAATTCAAGGTGTCAAAGTAACCTTCACGACTTTATGACACCCAGACGTTTCAGCTCTTCACAGCTATCTATTTTCTCCGCCTCTATTGCTTTTACCTTCTCCCAGTCCGTGCCAACACCGAATAAACCAACTTCTGCATCTCTCTTCCGTTGCCGCCTATCAACTCCATGCTGGCAATCGTTGTAGAGAGTATTAGTGTAAACTTGTTCCACTTGCCCTTCAAATCTTGACAGGGCAGATCCGCGTCGATGGGTGCCCCCAGCAATATCAGCTGCAATCTGCCGATGATTCCTGAACTCATGCTCGTTAACATGGTATTTGATGCCCAGTCCATTCGTTTGCCGTTCAGTATTGAACCGTGTTGATGGTGAAAAGGAATACCGCGGGTCGGGTATCGACGTAGAAAACATATCCGGAATTGCACTCAGGAATGAGAATGCGATAAGCAATATGAGGGGCAGGAGCTGCATAAGCAGCGAACGACCCTGTGCCCCTTCACCCTGCTGTTGTGCTTGCGCACCCCCCGTATTCGTACGCATACGTGTCGTACGGAAGCCTCCTGGACCAAACGATGCAGTGAATACTGGACCGCCGCCGAAAGGGCTGCCTCCAAATCCACGGTTCATCGCCATACCGCCTCCTCCGAAGAACATGTTGAAGAGATCCTCTGGACTCATCTCGCCCTCACCACCAAATGGGCTTGCGGAGAAGCCGGGCCCGCGGGAGGACATGCCACCAGAACGCGATTCGGGATCCGACCCGGATTGGTCGTAAATTGCTCGCTTCTGGGAGTCTGAGTGAATGTCAGAACTGTCTAGCGTATTAAACAATTCAAGCATACCTGAAAGCACTTGGAAGGCTTTGGATACCACTGCAGTGAGTTCGTGTGAGACACTTCGCGTACGTGATGACAATACTAGACGTACTCTTGAATGCTTCATCTGCTCCAGGAGCACCGTTCTTGTCAGGATGTAGCGCAAGGGCAAGCTACGATGGATCACAGCATTAGAACGTATATCAGTCGGCGTGCGAGATCATGCATGTTAATGTACCTTTCTGTATGCCTTCTTTATCTCAGCCTCCTCGCAATCCTTCTTGACCGACAAGATCTCATAATACTCTGTAACCTTGCAAGCCTTTACCCGTTTCACAACCTTCACCTGCTCAGCAGTGAATTCCCGTTTCTCCCCTCCCATTCCTCCAGCCGTGCCATTTGCACTGCCCGTACTTCGATGCTTAGCACCAGAAGCGGATGGGTGTGTCTCTGTAGAAGATGATGACGCCTGTGCATTGCCATTTGATGTTGAAGGGCCTGCCCCAGCTGATGAGGAAGACGATCCAGATGCCTCCGCGGCCTCGATAGACTCAAGAAACTTTGCAGCGTCAGGCGTGGAGAACAAATTTATAGATTTTTGACAAAATTTGCGGGCTGAAGGGAGGTTGCCAGCATCCTTGTATTTTTGTGCGATTGAAAGACACTTGATGGCTTCGTCTTTGTTACCTTCCATCGCTTGAGAGTAAACCAACGTCGTTGGTGAGCTGGGTACTTGGGAGGCTTCTCGGTAAGAGCGAACGTGTCTCTATTCGGCAAGTGCCTTTCGGATTCAATATTGCAGTGCCTGAGGCCCTGAGCCACGAAAAGTATCGTGTCACAGGTTGTTGGCAGTGATAGATTATCATGATCATCCACTGATGCCTTTCATATCGCAGGCTAATCCAGTGCAGTGCAATGCTTAATGCGAACTCGACCGTTCTCATCTTGTGCGTTCAGTTCTTTGACTTGTACGTTTTCATTGTCCTCTTTTCTTTCGGAATCTACAGAAGGCGTTGGTCCTGAGGCCTGAGCTACAAAGTCCGCATAGGCCCACACTTGCGTTGGTTCCCAGTTTGTAACAATCCGCCTTGCAAATATAATTGACACGTTGCGACTCGGCGCGCTCCTAGTCATGTCCTCATGAATAATGCTACTAGGAATCGACATTCACGGTACAATGATTCTGCTCCTATTGCAATACACACAAACAGTCTTTTCTGGCAGTCGCGTAAACAGTCGTGCGACAGCAAGACCAGACCAGACTCAAATCTCACTCCCGGATGTCAGCCTCAGTCAGCCTCCAAGTCGTACGAAAGGCTCGTCACCCACCTGCTCTCTCTTCAGTCCGTCTTTTATCGTTGCTTCACAAAAGTTTGTTACACATCCAGCATATCGATATCTTCAACATCTTTATTCATTCTACTATGCCTCCCGATATGCAACAACACACTGGCGTTCCCTCATACGACCAGTTCAGACCGCCTAGTCCAGCCAAAGGCCAGCGCAAGGGCAAAGTTCGCTCCTTTCTTCCAAGCTTCGTCGATCGAGCCATCTTCCGCGCCAAGCCAGTTGCCCATCGTGACACTGCTGAGTTGCATCCAGAGGTTGACCCCGCCACTAATGTCGACCATCTTGCAACAAAGTCTCAGGTCCTTCCTCACCTTAAAGGACAACTCGACTGCACGGAGACGCGGAAATCAAGAACGGAAAATAGGGTTCTGCGTACTTCCCTTGTCACTGTCAACAAGGAACGGAAGGCTGCTCCCCAAGCCCTCGATAAGGCGCAACGCCATAGTCGTGCTGTTCAAGATCATCTCAAAGTGATGCGGTCAGAGGTGCCTGAGATCATCCGGTCATACGATTTCAACATAAACGGGCTGAATATACGACAGGGTGCTCAGGTCACCAAGCTCCAGTCAAAGCTCTTCGACCAACAAGAACAGATTACCCATCTGGAGGGCTTTGAGATATCCAGTCCTTTGGTTGAAACTGTTTCTCGCAAGACCAGTACCAGAAAGATCTCAAGCGGATCTCAAGCGGACATTGGTTCCCAAGGCTGTGTGTTGGAGGTCCAAGCCATCGCGGAACGTCTATCGAAACCTCAGTCTATGGAGCCAGCAGTGGCTGTCAAAAGGAATTCAACGACGAAGCACGAGCCGGAGCGCCGCGGAAAACTAATCAAACGACAACGCAATATTGGTCGTGATGCATCCGAGCGCTGCAAGGATGACGATCCCTTCGCTTCAGAGCCAAATCTAGCACCACATCGCAAGATACGAAATGTACTAGCAGATGCGCGAGACAAGACCCTTGCTGCAATCTCGGAACTGAAGGATATTCGTCGCAAGGAAGATGAACAGCAATCCTCCCAAGCCTGTCACGGCCCCCAGATAGAGTCCACAGCGTTTCAGGATATTCGACGCTTACTGGCAGATGTGCGGGAGTCTGGAACCAGGACACAGGCGACCATTTCGGAAATGAAGGATGCTCGTCCCAAGAAAGACAAACAGTGTCCTTCTCAAGCTTGCCACGGCCACGAAGCGGAGTTCGCGGTGTATCAGGATCAAATCGCTGCCCTTACTTCGGAACGTGATACGCTCTCTCGCGAGCTCGAGCGCAGCACTCGAATGGCGAACTCGAATGCGTTCTTGCTCAATAGCGTAGAATTGCAAGCTCAACGTCTACTCTCCGAGCACGATGCACTTATCCTTGAGCACCAGCAGGAAAAGGCACGCTCGCAGCAACAAATTCGTGAACTTGAGATCCGACTCGAGGAGACCACCGCCTCAGCTTCACGCGCCAGGGAACGTTGCAAAGCAGAACGCAAACAACTTCTAGAGGTCGAAGAGCAGCTCAAGCTTGAACGCACACAGTCGGCGCAGAACCACGCAGATCATCTGGATGAGACGCTCATGCTCTTCAGGGAGAATGCGGAGCAGGCCAACTTGATCGAAACCCTCAATAGGGATTCCGCAGAGCAACGTACTACGCTCCAGAAGGTGCGTATTCGGTTGGACCTTGCGAACAATGCACAAGCGATTATGAAGCGCAAAGTTGGTAAACATCTACGCCTTTCACAGTTTGTGCTTATATTTTCAAGCTCCAGAAAATGGAACTTGCGTCCCAACAAGCTCAGGAGAACACCGAGCTACTCCATAGTACCCCACCGAAGGCTCATGGCAACATAATTCGAAACCTCAGCAAGCCCTTGTCGCAGAACAGACCTCGTCAAGTATTACATCCGGGATCCCCACTCTTCACTCAAGAGATCGTGAAGAATGAGAAAGTGCAGCTTCCTGTTGCCGCTACTGGCACTTCCTCTTCGTCACCCCCCGAGGTTGATGGCGTCACTTCACAGCAAGCCCATGGGAAGCTTTCGTCGCCATCAATCAATCCTCCTGTCGCTAAGCCGTCTCAGCGAGATCCTCTCAACGACAACTTGGATATCTCCACGGTGTCAATCTTCAGTGACGATGGCGTCGATTTACTCTTGGAACCGAGCGAGGATGTAATAGCGGAAGGCAATGGCTTGGCTACCCTCTACTCGATGCTGTCAGTGGTACGTATGTATGCTCCTAGTCCCATTCGCGGTCCTCCGGAAATTCAGCCTCGACGTCGCAACGTGGATCCCCTCAAGATAATGGCCCATCCTGACGACATGGCAAAATCGGACGGCGTCGCTGTGGGACAAACCTGTAAGCAATCATCTCTACTCCTCTTTGAATGTCTCTCCTCATCGGAAGTTCAGGGTCGCTATTTCATCTTTGACACAATCTCGTCGTCTTTTTCTTTTCGTTTTTTCTGAGAGAACGACGAACCTTATCTCTTTTCTTTTCTTTTCTTTCTTCCCGGGAGATAGCAGGCAGGTTAAAACAACAAAAATAGGTGGGATCGACGGTATGGTTGGGGTTATGGCTAGGTACGGCCTTTATTCTTTTATTCCTTAGATAAGTACCAAAAACAGGGAGGGTCGCGGCCGCGCGCGGGAGTGCATATTTTAATTTCATTCATTTCG